GCGCAGGCATCCTTTTCCATGTGTTCAATGGCGAATTCAGATGCGTGTGCAAAAAAACCCGGAGTTTATGCATACTTTTTTTTTCTTCAAAGAAATTAGGAATTGCTTACCGGCTTGGTTTGGCACACTTGTTTCTTCAGGGGCTCTTGTTGTTTTCATAGTGTTTCCCATTGCTCTCTTTATTTTTGTCAATGTACTTCAGAACTAAAACAAAAGAGACATTAAATGAAACTTAGAATGGCACCGGCTGTGCCAACCCATCAAAAAATGACCCAATTTCAGGCTTTCAGTTTTTATAAAGTTTGTTTTTGGCCTTTGAAAGCTGATGGTTCACATTCATACTAGAGTTTTACATATTCGCTAAACTCTCACCACTTAGTCTTTTATCAGGGGAATAGCAGCAAACCACAGCTAGGGAAGTTGCTCAGAAACACTGTGTGTAACAAAAGTTTCCATTACCAGAACCTCAGCACAATAGGAAGTCACAGAAAAACTGTGCCTATGTGAGCATTTTGACATTATTTGATCTATAAAACAAATGCCTGTTTCATATCCCAAGGCACTTCTCAGCATTTGTTCTGCCTGTTACGCCGTTTTGCTGAGAAATGTCGGTAATGTTGTTCGGCAGTTTCCTTGTAATGAAGTCCTGGTCTCAGTGAATGTGCTCAGTGTAAAGAAGGTAAGGGTGGTTGGGGGATCCCACGGGAACACAGAAATATCCATGCGGGATCAGACTAATAGACCAGTATCTTGCCTTAACCATCGCCAATACAAAATGCTTCAGAGGAAGGTACAGGAAATGCTGCAGGAAGCAGTTTTGAAACTAGTGGCTCTTGAAGGAACTTGCTTTAATCCAATATAGAAAGCTCCCTTTAACCCCATGTAAGAACCAACATAGACTAGAATAAGCTTCCTATTTAGCTAGAAGGTGGTTTATCTTACGGTACAGTTTCAGAGGCAGACTGCTTCGGCTGTGGCTTGTTTAAAATCACACGTGAATATCTAAACACCCTTACCTAAAATCAGATTATTTTTATCTCTTTTCAGAGGTTGCTCTGAAGGGGAAAAAAAAGCCAGGCTGGGCTTGAATATTCTCATATGGCTGAATGTCTCCTGTATTTACAGTCTGGGAGCTCTGCAGAAAATGCTGATCTTGTCTAGCTTAAATATTTCAAAGGCACTTATCACCTGGTTGTTAGAGTCTACCATCGCCTATAGTGGGCCCAGTTTGAGTACTCGTACACATTTTGGGTGTCATCCCACTGAAATCAGGGAGACTTTTTGTCATAGTTGGCATACCCCGCTGCTCTACTGCACTCCAGGAACTGTACTGTTGAGTCCTCCTAGTGTTGGATACCATTTAAAGGTAGCAAAATCCATCCTTTGCTATTGGTCTTGTTTCATTTAGTGAGACAGATGGCTGTGAACGCATTAATCCAACTCCAGCTCATGCAATTTTCAAGGGCCGTATTCCTGCACTGGGTATCACAGAGACTCCTGACCCAAAATCTTTATTCCGTTGGCATCCATTTTGTATTTGCCATTGTCTAGTTTAGTGCACTGGCTGTAGCACCTCTGGAGGATTCAGCTGCACCATATCTTTTTGACACATCACAAAAGGCTTCTTTTACAAAAAACAAAGCACTTCTTCAGTGCCCAAGTTGACAACAACCTAGAGGCTGTAAAGAAAACATCTTTTAAATAAGGTAGGCAGGTACTCACATTTGTGTGAGTAATGGGGCCTTTTAAAGCAGGTACAAAAAATCAGATCGTGCACCTGGTTCCTAGTTTGTGGAGATGGCTTAAATTGAAAGTTTGGAAGGCTTTAGTTTCCCACAAGATTAGTCTCCTGGACCCTCAACAAGCATTTTGGTTGTCAAGATACAGTTTTGTATCTTAGTATTTAATCTTAAATTAAATGTCTGTTGGCTACATATTCCATCAAGAATGGTGCATTTGCACTGCGGTTTCTGCTGTAACTGCAGCAAGTGTAGACATACCCCATCTAGCTTGGGTCCATTTGCTTGTATAGCCACCGCAGCACAGTGCACATTGCAACATCAGTCCAAGAAGCAGCATAGACGCTCAGACGGTTACTTTGCGCTGAGCTCTATGCTATCGCAATTACTCTGCTCGCAATACCTGAACTAGCTAATTGACCTATCGCAATTACTCTGCTCGCAGTACCTGAACTAGCCAACAACCTAGTTCCCGTAAGCCTATGCAAGCTGCAGTGGATCAAAAGGTCAACAGTATTCATGTTTTATCTTCCCAGAATTTTGGTGCTTTATACAGCTATTTCTCAAATGAACCCAGCACTTGATGGTCATACTGTACACCACATCTTTTCTAACTGGTGAGCTCTCTAGGGGGCCTATCACTCTAGGAAGTCAATGAAATTAGAAATTTGAATTCAGGGACTAAAGTCTCTGGTGCTCTTTTCTCTAAAATGGACAATGCAGCTACACATGGGCAACATTTTGGACAATGGACAATTCAGGGGTTTGAATTGGACAATTCAGAGATTTGAATTCAGGGACCAGTCTCTGGTGCTGTTCTCTCTAAAATGAACAATTAACAGCTACATAATGGGCAAAATTTTCACAAGTGTTTAAATGACTTGGGTGCTCAAGTCCTGTTTTCCAATATGTCCAAGTGCCAAAATCACTTTAGAAAATGAGCCTTAAGGCTTCTAAGTCACTTAAGCACTTTGGAAACATCTCTAAATGTTTTAACCATATGAAGCTGTTTAAGAACATGGCTTCCATTGCCTTCATCAGAAGGTATGTCCATAACCAATGCAGGGTCCTTGACTGCTCACTTTTACAAAGCTGGATAATGCAAAGTCACTTACTTGTCAGAACCCATAAGGCCTCAAAGCCTCTATCCATCAACGTGCTCCTCAAATAAGTTCGTTAGTAGAACATGCGGTTATCTGAAGGTAGGCTATTCTGGTTAGACTATGCCATCTGTATCACCATGAAACGCTACCTTATTTCCTGAATGCCCCCTCTGAAGTCACTGAGATGAAGAATGGCAGAATGCAGCTTGTCAAACTGAGAAATTCTAAATGCCGTGCATTAAGTATATGCTTTTCGTCAGTATTTGTTCAATTCCGCTTAGCGTTTCCATGCGATTGCAGTTATCTCTTTCCATTATCTATCTCAGTGACATTTTCCATCTTAGATTTACTGACGTTAATTACAGTTGTTTACAATAAAGAGAAAAGAAAATGAAAAAGCGCAATTTTCCCATGATGAACTCCTCCAAAGTGATCGCATTTGCAAAGAGGAACCCTTGGACTGCCGTGTGCTTTGCAAATGAAGTTCACCATTAAACTCTTAGCCAGAATAACAGCATATTTGGTGTGCTCTAATGGGCTCAAGAATACGTTTCAATACACTTCTCTCTCTGTGGGTGTTTGGAATGGAAACGATGGCATGAGGAACTTGTTCAAGGTGGGGGGAAAGGGCTTTGTGAATTAAATTGTTTGGTGGTGGTGGGTTATCAATATCACCACCACCTGTTTGGCCTGGAATATAGGGATAGGGAATAGTAAAACTGGGGACATTAGACTTTGGTGTCTTAGGAGGCTCTTTCCAGTTCTGTGTTACTCAGTTGATATGTTCCTATGTTCCTCTATTTATTTAGCATCATCAAATGCTAAATAGCACTGCACGTGGTTAAGTACACAACTAGACTGCACGTAAGCAACATGTCCTTCCACGGGATGTGTGTTACTCCATCACCGTACAATAAACCAAGCTATTTTTCTTCAATTTGGGAAGACAGATAGGTAACTGCATAGTAGCATGCATTGTGGTTTATGGATGAGCCAGTTTGTCATCTAACTGAACTGTTAAACAATTAGCTTTATAGGTTAAATTCGTATAACAAGGTGTCTACTGAACGCATTTAAGTATCATAAATTTTGTGGCAAATGCTTGGGATATAGGCAGGGCAAATATATCCCCTATGTACAATAATTGCAGGTTTTGATGGCAGACTCATAGGCTGGTTCAGTGGGGCTTGCTGAAGATACAGTAATGACAGATGATGCCAGCAGCAGCCCAGAAGGCCTGCTGCAATTGCCTCACAATTTAGAGGAATAACAGTCACTGAAGGTTATATTGCAACCGTTTTTCTCCTTGGAAGGAAAGAGGTGGCATTCTTCATACAAAGATCAGTTCTGAAGTCTCTCACGAGGGTTTAAATTTCACTGTAAGGAATGAAGTTGCACTCGGCATT